TCCCCACAAAGGGCCGCGGCGCTGCGTGGCCGCCGCCGCTCGCCGCCTCCGCCGGGGGCGCGGAAATTTGTTGCACTTCTTGGGGCTTTGTGTGTTTGTTTGTTTTTTTCCCCCGGGCTTTATTTATTTATTTTTCCGGACCCCGCCGTTTGCGTTATTTTGGACAAAATGTCGGTCCGTGGTGCGAACGTTGAGCGAGGAGCCTGGGCGGCATGGGGAGCTTTGCAGAAGGTGCAGTTCGGATTCTGCTTTTCCCAGGGTGGCAGCTCGGTCGTGGCCGGGTGAATCTTCGCCGCTGGCCGTGGGGACGGCTCGGGCAGCTTGCTTGCTAGTTGGCTTTTCATTAAAATTTTTTAAAAATGAGTGTTGTTTTTAAAAGGCTTTACGTGCAGAGAGGAGGAATCACCACCTTAAATAAGCATATGGGCGATTAACAGGGTATGTTTTCCTCCCGGATGGGGAATTTGGTAGCTCGGACCGATGTCAGTCTGTAAATATTTAGACGTTATTAGTGACTTTTAGGCATTTTGCAGCGAGAGCTGTTATTTACAGTATGTCATGTGTTATTAATGCTCGCTGCTTAAGTTCCATGGCAAATCTGTTTCATTCCTCCTGAGAAAGTAGACAATTGATAGGTTGTCCAAGGGATGGAAAAAAAAAAATGTGAGTGGGTTTTCTAACTTGAATTCGGTAAATCCCCGAACGCTGGTGTTTGTAGGGCTGCAGCCTTGCAGTACCATAAGTGTGAACACTTTTGAAGCCTTGTCGTTAAAATGCGATTTTACAGGAGTATGTCAAGAGGAAAATGCTGTTGGTTTATTTCCTAGATTTAACATTTCTCCCCGCTCCTTGTCTCTTTCAAAAGTTTTCCGAGAGATAAGTTCACCACGATGTCCAGTGATAGGCAGAGGTCCGATGATGAGAGCCCCAGCACCAGCAGTGGTAGTTCAGATGCGGACCAGCGAGACCCAGCCGCTCCGGAGCCTGAAGAGCAAGAAGAAAGAAAACCTGCCACCCAGCAGAAGAAAAACACCAAACTCTCTAGCAAAACTACTGCTAAGTTATCCACTAGTGCTAAAAGGTAATGCTTAAAGGAGAACTAAGTACATGGGGTCAGGTTGCTTTCCGAGCAGTTGGACATTTGTGTTGGTTTACATCAGTGGCAACAGTTCAGAGATACTTCAGGGTCAATTTTATTTGTATTCGAGTGAGCTGTCATTCTTTAAGTAACATAGGAGTGACCTCACTAGAATTATACTCGTAAAGCAAACTTAGTGCTTTGGTAACTTCAGGAAGCCTATCTTCAGGGAGAGTTTGGACTGATGATCTGACAGATTCGCGTCAGGAGTCAGCAAGGAAAATTTAGTGAACCCAAATTAGATGGCCCATTGGATGTTTCCTTTTGTGAGTCATGCTCTTCTTGGGTGAAATTGACACTTCCAGAGATCAGCAATGTCTCTCTTCACCAAACAGGTTGATCAGGGTGACTTCATTTGCTAGAAAATGTGCAAATGTCAGACATTGGTAGTATTTGAAAGCAGATTTCAAATTGTGTTTTAAATTTGCCTGCAGTTTCACAAACAAGCCTTTAAGTCCTTTATCACAGATAGAACTTTTTGCAGTTAAAGTGTGGTTATACCTCCTTGTTGTGAAAATAAATACAACTGAAAAGTAGCCATTTACAATTTTAGGTGTCACTTGGCAACTGAAAACTTTCATTGTCCTTGTGTCTCTTGACTCCCAAACTTGTAGATATGCTTGACATGTTAATACTCAACAGCAGGGGAACTGTACTTTGTTGAGCATAAGTGAAAGATCATTTGTTTCCTGTTGACTTTTGTTTTCTAAGATGCAAAAAAAAAGGTTCTATCAGTGGGGCTCCATTAGTACCTAGTGGACTTCTAGCAGTTATACATAAAATGTTTCTACAGCATTACTCAGTATTGTATTGACATTTTGATTTTTATTATTGCAAGTAAAGGAATATGGAAATATAAAAACTGACCAAGAGTTTCATTTTCTAGTGTTTCAGGACTGTTATTTTTCTGTGGATTTTCACCATTATTGTACCCATTAATCAAGTATTAATAACTTGACAATGTTTACTGAATAGCAGCAGTCTTTGAAATATTTAAAATTCATCTCAATTTGTAGTAATCTCATGGAAGAACATGTTAAACACTTGTTAAGTTTTGAAAGCATCTTAAATTTGAAGAAAGTAAGAGAACTTTTTTCCCCTTAACTCAGGAATGGACATCTGTCTATCTAGATATCTTCTGTTTCCCTGCAAATTAATAAATTTAAATGCAGTGCATAAGATCAGAGAGAACAGAAATTGTTAAATAAGAATGCCAAAATAGGCTTTGAAACTTTTTCATTGGTAAAGATATTTGTAAATTTAAAACTTTTTTTTGATAGATAAAACATTGTTTAAATGACTAATGTGCTCTTGCAGCAGCTTGTTAATTTTTACCGTAGTAAAAGTGACTTGAAGTCATTGTCAAAATTCTAGGGCTTTCCCTCCTCCCTTTTTGTCTCATTTGCATATAAGCTTGAAAAGAGAATTTCTTTGGTAAAAAGTGTTTTAAAATAGACTTTATAACCTTTACTGAGTAGTAGTGGAGGACTGTTTTTCAAATCAGGTGTAAATGACTTACTTATTTACAGTAGCAAGTGAGAAAAAAAGCTGCAAAGTTTCTGTTAAGGGATTTGGGTTATGCCTCTGAGAACAAAGAGGAAGCAGCCATGTTAGCATTACTGAAGGCAAAGCCAGCCTTGCATTTAACTGCATGGTGGTAGAGGGCAGTGTAATTCCCTGGTTATTCTGTAGACTATCTCAAATCCTTTTTGTCTGTTCTCATTTCGCTAACAGAATTCAGAAGGAGCTAGCCGAAATAACCCTTGATCCTCCTCCTAACTGCAGGTAAGAAACACATTTTGTTGTTTTGATTTCAAATTGTGGAAAAATATCAGGGGATTAATGGGTTGTCTGTGGATGTGTGTGCAGTAAGAGCCAAGCTACATTTGCTTCCTTATAGCTTTGCAGTTCCATTAAACGTAAATTACCTAGGTGAATTAAATAAAGTGGGGAGAAAAATACTGTTCAGCATGTATCATATATTGTAGATTTATGAATACACTAATTATAGCTTCTTACTGAGATTAGTTTGAATGGTGCTGATTTTTCTGTTGTAGTTCTGTAGGACATGTTTATTCACAAGTATATTGCAGAAACTTCTAAAAATTTTAAGCCTTCAAGTTATTGCTCATGTGGAGTCTGAATTGACCTTCCAAATTTAGAAGTTGCTGAATATGGTGTTACAAAATGTAAATGCAGTAAATAAGAGTGTAGTTGTTTCTGTTTGATTTATTCAGTAACTTGCCTTAAGGACAAGTTTTATGTGCTAAGCTAATGGTTTTAGTTCTTTTCTAGAGAATGCGTTGTTGGAATTATTTACATTTCAAGCAAATGTCCTAATTACGTGGGAAAATTCTTAGTGAGCAGTAAATGAATTGGAATTGTGGAAGGAATTAATTTCAGTTGGAACTGAGGATAAGTTTATTGATTGGCATAAGAGACATTAAAAGTAGATAGTTGATAATTTTTTCCTCAATAGTTTGTTTTTCATTTCATCTTACATAGTATTCTGTTTAGTTTTGAACAGTGACTGGCTTATAACACTCATCAAATTTAGAGAGCAGTATTGTAAATAATTTGCATAGAGAGATGTGCTCAAGATCTTGAAGGGCTGCTAGAATTAAGGGTGTGTTACGGTTTGGAATAAAAATGTTTTACCGTCCAACCTGTGTTTTTGCTTTAAATTGTGTTCGCTTGTGTTGATCAGACTTATCTGAGGTCCACTTGAGATGTAATAGGATGCAGTGTGTTTGCTTTTTACTTTGTGTGTTAACCAGATCCTCAGATAAGGTGCTCTGATCCTGATTTATCCAGTGAATTAACAGTTTTGCTTATAGCTGTAGTCACAACCATTTGAGTTAAGGAAAGGAGACAGAAATGTGGACTAATTACAAACACATAGCGATCCCTCAGATCTCAAGGTATTAAGAGCTGTGCTGTCCAATAATGTAACCACTGGCCACATCCGGCTATTTACTGCTTCATTTATGGATAGTCTAAAATGAGATGTGCTAAAAGTGTGAAATACACATGGGATTTTTAAACCTAGTGCAATAAAAACTACAAAAATTTAAAAATAATTACCGCATGTTGAAATATTTTGGATGTATTAAATGTGCAAATTTCACTTTTACCATTTTAGTGTAGTTAGAACATTTAATTACATATATGGCTTGCATTATATTTTTGTTGAATAGTGCTGCTTTAGAGGGTAAGAAAATCAAAGTATTTCCCTCCAGCATTCCAAATGGTGTGTCAAATCTGTAGCCATTTAAAGAGGTCAAGTTAAATTTGCTCTCTGCAAGAATTATTTAACTTCCCGAGTGTATTCTGATATTTCCCATTATGAAAGATGTAAAGATCTATCAGTTCAAAACTCTCAAATGCTTTACAATTGCATGGAAGGTCAAACATTTTTAAAGGTTTCTGTTGATTTTCTGCAGTAGCACAAACCAGTGTGCGAGCAGAAACCTCGCGAGTTCAGGAGACGTGTTGAATGCCCTCAGTGCAATAGCCTGGTGGTAGAGTTGCTGAAGAAATCTGCTTTGAATGTTTAACCCAGGAGTGTTTCCACAAGGTCACTCAGGATTCTTTTAGAGAGAGTGGAATCTTTCTATGAGATGGAAAGTTTTGCTTGTGTATTCTTGTCTTTTTATACCAGATTGCATTTAAGTCTGTGTAATGCCAAACTGATCTACTCTAGTGAAGTAATAACACCTGGGGTTTGCTGGTGCACAGAAACATGGATCATTCATCTTTGTTTTTCCTTGTCATAACCTTTGGTGATTGTCAGCTATTGCAAATGACATCTTTCGGTTTTGTTGTTCTTCAGTATTTGGGTTTCTTGGTGGTTATGTACAAGTGGTTATGTAGAAATACAAGTTTTTATAGAGCATTAGAAGTTTTTTTTTAAAATTACTTAGGGGATAGGTTTTTTTTATATAACTCACATCGTTTTGTGTCTTTAGATACTTTTTTCAGAAGAAAGTCTCGTCCTTCTCCTAGAGATGAATTTTGTATATTGCATGTTTAGTTGAGGTATTTTATAATTTTGATAGGTAAGCCTAACTATCTATTGTTATTTTTGCCTTCGTCTGATCTGTGACAAATTACGTTGTTTGTTTCTTGATAGAGGCATAAATGAGAATTATAACTTTATTGCTATTGGTTAAAATTTATCAATTTATGCTGCAGTTAAAAGTAGGATTCCACATTTATAGGTACATTTGGAGTATGTAAATTCATATTGCCTGTGATCTATAAAACCTAATACTTTTGATTTTCATGTGTGGTTATTTAATCAGAATTGCATTACGGTTTTGAATAATGATTTTTATAAGCTTGTCAAAGTATATGACAGATTTAATTCTTCCTCAGGGAAGAAATAGAAAGCATATCTGTGTACACTCAAGGAAAAATTGAATGAAATCAGGAAAACTTAGCAAGCCAAAGGAGATTTCTCTTAAATCCCTTGGTGTGTGTGTGTGTGTGTGTGTGTGTGTGTGTGTGTGTGTACATTTTGAGTCTAGGCTGGCCTCAAACACAGGGTAGTCCTTGTGCCCCAGCCACCTAAGTGTGGGCATTACAGGTGTGTGACTTTATGCCTGACCTTACATCCCTTCCTTTGTTTTAATTAAAATATTCTCTAGTTACATAGTTGGCTATAACATTTATGTATACTGAGGGTAATTTTAGGATAGGTATGATTGTTGAGTTAAATATGGCCTTGTTGGATTATCCTTCATAGGATTATTTCTTTTCCTGATAGTTGAATAGTTCGATAAAGGCATTATTTCTAATGATTTGATGGCACTTCAGGTTTTAAGTATTGGAGTGCCGTGGGCCAGTGCATCCTAACTATATGGATATAATTTTAATTTTATTGGTTTCAATTTATGCTCTATATGTACTATAATGTGAGATATAAATAATAGATACTACACACCAGTAGGAATGAAGGGAATTTGTATTATGGGCATTTTCCTGGTTTTTGAGAAAGTTAATGACTGAAAGACATTTGTTTCATTTGTTTCGCAAATGATAACTTTGTTCTTTTATAGTCACCACTTGTACAAACAAGTTTAAAAAGGTGCTAGATTTCTAATTTAACTTCTAATTTCTTTTCATATATGAAAAAGTATAAACGAACTTCTAAAAAGATTCCTTAATATGTTTATATTGAGTCTATGGATAAGTGGATAGGGGTATTTGTATATAATTTTGAAATGTGTGAAGGACCTTACTGTGAGAGTAGGTATTAACAGTTTTATAGTATTAACGTGAGTAGCAAAACCTGAAAGCAGGTACTGTAGTACTTACAAGTTTTGTTAACTTCCTTCTTTAAAAAATAAAGTGTCTATCTAGGTGTGGTGGTGCACACCCATAATCATAGCACTCAGGAGCCTGAGGCAGGAGGATCACTGGGAGTTTGGGGCCAGCCTGGGCTACACAGCAAGACCCTATGTCCAAAAAAAAAAGTCTAAACCAGAAGTTGGCAACTCTTAACTTGCTCATAAGCCCAGTTGTTTGAGATGAGCTCTCTTCTTGTGAGGGTTAATGGCACTGCCATTTTTTGGGGTAGGCTAAAGCTTGGCTACTTAGCTACTTGTGATCCACAGACCAGCAGCATCTGCATCACAGATAGGTATATTGCAAGTGCATCAGGATGCCTTTCCCTAACCAGAAGTACCAAAAATCAGAATCTCAATTTAACCAACTTCCCAACCCAATGTTTTTACTGACAAAAGGTTTGAGAAGCTCTGGTACTGGAGCAAGCCTGTCTTGAGGTTCAGAGGTGTGCTGTGACACTTTTGGCATGCCACTTTACATAAGTCAGGATCTTTTTTGTCTTTCAGCTTCCTCAGTTGCAAAATGAGCATTACAGTGATTACCCTTTCTCATACTGTTGTCATGAGGAATAAATGAATTAAAGTTTTGTAATACTGTAATGTAAATTTGGTCAATGAAGTAGCCAGAGCAAGATAAAAGTAGAAAGGCAGTTTAGCTTCTTGCCTTCGCTGGTGACTTTTTCTTCAGTGCACAAATGTTCTACTATACGAACAGCTTCATCTTTATTTGTCATCTAATTATTCAGTCTATATCAAGCAGTATGTTTTTATTCTTAGTAAAAGAGGTTCCTTAGAATTTAAATAAAGTTATCCTAGAAACAGTAGCTATAGATGAGCAAATATTGTATCTCTTTAAAAAAAGTGTAAGGTTAACGTTACTCATTCAATAAAGAATGCTATGACTGCCCAGTAAAGTATGAGAAAACTTTAAATAGGAATGGTGGTTATGTTTGCCTTCTTTAAATATTCCATTATAAGAATTTGTGATTTCATTGAGAATGAAATTACATCAGTATTTGTAAAATTCAAACTCAGGATAATACACTTCATTAATTATCTAAATATCGTTTGGAATTTCATACTAAGCAATGCCGTTGGATTAGAGGAAGCTTATTAGCCATCTCTCTTTTTATTTTTTTATAATTGCAGTATTTAATAATGCTTTTCAAAGATAATTTAGCTACTATATTTATTTGCTTTTAAAGGAAATTGATAATCACAGTAATCCTAATTGTATTTACCAGTGCAACAAAAGGAGTCAGTGCTATTGTGTGACCAAAAACATAATTCGAAGGAGTGATTGATTGAAAACAACAGGTCACATTTTATTAGGCCTTTTCAGTGTTCATACACTATGTGGAAAATAGGTTAAAAACAGTGGACTTTTAAAAGTTAGGTATTTTGCAGCTACACGCTGCACATTCCTTTTTGTAGGAG